GTTTGAAGTTTGAGGTGGCAAGACAAGCAACCGGGCCTCCCCGCGCTGGGGGGGGATCGATCTCCGGTGCGGGTCAGGGGCGCGACCGGCGAGGTGCTGCGGGAGGGTTTCACAGAACCGCAGGATGGTTTGGGTCGGAAGGGACCTGACGGATCATCTGGTTCCAACCCCGCTGTGTAACAGACTGGAAGATGGTTCGTGTCGAGACCACAGAGGTCCCTTCCAGCCCCTACCGTTCTGTGATTCGGAGCGCACATGTTGTGCAGCGGTGGAAACCAGCATCACGTGAAATAACAAAACTACACAAGGCATGGAAGAACAGACAGGATATCTGAGGGTCTGAGACTGGGCTAATACAGAAGTCCAGTGCGGTTTGAGACTGGGCCAATGTATATTGCTTACGCAAGATAGAATCACAGAATGGTTGGGGTTGGAAGGGACCTCTGTGGGTCACCCAGTCCAACCCCCTGCCCAAGCAGGGTCGCTGCCCCTTGTCCTGTCGCTGGGCACCACTGAAAAGAGCTTGGCCCCATCCTCCTGACACCCACCCTGCAGATATTTGTAAGCATTTATTAGGTCCCCTCACAGCCTTCTCCAGGCTGAACAAGCCCAGCTCCCTCAGCCTTTCCTCGTAGTCCAGTGCAGTTTGAGACTGGGCTAACTGTATCGCTTAGGCAAGATGAGCGGGCAGCGGCAGGGAGGCTGTGGCAGCGTGCCAGAAAGGACATTTAAAGGACACCGAGGAAGAAGGGACTCTTCATCCCGAAGACCACCAGAGGAACTGTAAAGACCACGAACATCATAAGACGCATGTGTCAATAAATGATGCCACGTAAGCGCGGAGAATCAAAAGAAGGAGGAGGCTTCGCGGAAATGAACAGCTCGGAGAGAATATAAAGACCGCCGGTGCCATCAGAAGGTGTGCGTGTTGGTGGAGCAGCAACTCCCCGCGCACCCAGCGCTGTTTGCGTGCTTTTTATTGCCTTAAATATTAATAAAGAAAAAGATAATGCAAATGGCACATTGTCATTTATAATACCTGCCATGAGCAGGGACATCTTCCACCAGACCAGGGTGCTCAGAGCTCCACCCAACCTGGCCTTCAACACTTCCCATGATGGGGCATCCACAGCTTCTCTGGGCAACCTGTGCCAGTGCCTCGCCGCCCTCATGGTGAAGAATTTCTTCCTAATATCTAATCTAAATCTGCCCCATTTTTAGTTTAAAGCCATTGGGAATGGCAAGCACGGTACATAATTGTGCTCCGATTCCTCCTGTGTGAAGTCCCTCTGTGTCTCAGCTCCTGGTGTGGCGTGGAAGGATACTACATGAGCTGCTCTGCTACTCTCTCTCTTCTATTTAAACTGCGTTCCTGGAGTGTGACATCCGTGCTACTCCCGAGAGCGATCTATGCACCAGGGCGCTGGGTCTATTTGACCTGAACAAGGAAGAGCGACTGAGTAACTGAGCGTCTCTGGCATGGATGAAGGGACTGTTTTGCCGTTTGCCTTGTTGCATTCTTCAAACATGACAGTCCTTTTTCTTTTTTTTTTTTTTTAAACTGATGAAACAGATGAAGAAATCTGCTATCCTGTCTTTTCTTACAGGATGATGCTTAATATAAAGACTTTAAAAGTATATTTTATATTTTTTATCTTTATAAAGATACTTTTTTCACCCCAAGTATGGCAGACCATAGAAAATCTTTCCCTTTAGCACTGATGTGACTCATCTCCAGTTATTGCAGATTCCTTAGTTTTCAGACAACTCCCTGTTTCCACTACACAGAAGGGATAATGTTCCCCAACTATTAAAGCTCTTCAGAGTAGTATTAGGCTGGGGTTTTTTTAGCATTTCCTCTGCAAAATGATCCTTCCCCACTGTTTTGCTGATCTTCAGCTTCTTCACTCTAGCCCATACAGATGACATGAATGTCAGTCTCAAGAGCTACATGTTTTCTGCTGACTTCTATAGAAGAGTTTGTTGAGGTGGGGTAGATTTTTATGCATTTTTGTCTTCCACCTCATTTCAAAACATTTTCATCACCTTGTTTCTGAAGGGCCCATTTTGTGTTCTGAAATCGTTTCCTACAGGATTCCAACCAGGTCCATAGAGCTCCCTTCCGCAGCCTCAGTCCCTAGCCAGGTCACTGTCACCTCTCGTTTTCTCTTTCCTATGAATGAGTTTCACTGTTTGATTGTTTTACATTTCTCTTTCGTTCTTCCTCAATATTTAATCAGTTTTCAAATTCCACTTTCCTGTCTTCTGTTCTTGATGAAGCACTGCATCTTTTGGCTTTTCAACTTTCTTACACCCAGCTGAAGCTTGAATCTGAGCACTGGCTGTTTTTTTCTCTGCCTCAGTTTCAGCCTTGAAAAGATCATCACACACAACAAGTTTCTTACCACTTCAGTAGGAGTCCAACCCATATTTCTTTCTTGTACTTTAGTTCCCATGGGCAGACATTTCAAGAAATTGTAATCATTTATGCTTCAGAGGTAAACAGAGAGCTCGTGTTTGTCACAGCCATTAAGCTCCAGCGTGACTGCCAACACGATGGTATGATTGCCATCTTTAGGCATCTATTTTGGAGTCTCGTATGTTTGATGCATTGGTAAGTTAGCTCCTAACTGGTGAGCGGTTTTTTCCATGTAGTCAGTTATGATAAGTTCTGTTCCCTCAAAGTGTTGACACCGCAGCCTGCATAGATGAAATATTTCTTCTGTTGCCTGTGTGCCTGCACCTGCCACTCTGCCAGGGATTTCAAGTCCGCCTTCCTCACAGTCCATGAGGTTTTTAATAGACTGGATTAGTTCTGTCATGTACTAATAAGTATTTTCTTCCTGCTAGCAAACTCTCGAGAGCACTGACTTCTGTAGCTGTCATCAGGAGCTGTCACACACACAAGGGGTCAGCAGTACTCTGTGTTGAATGGCCACTTTGGAAAAAAAGCCTAATCTCTTTCCTTAACCAATTGTTTTTTCTAGGCTGATTGTCAGCTATTTGTGCTTTATTCGGGCTTAGGACTGGGCCATTGCGTTCAGTCAGAGCAAGCTGACAGGGCAGTTCCCTTGTTTTTTTACGATGCTAATCAGTCTGTGTGGTGTGCTTACACAGCACTTACACTGCAAAGGCACCAAGGCAAGGACTACCCTCCTGTCCTGTATTCGCAGGGATAATTTCCTCTGTCTCCCAGTCCAGGGCTGTACTGTTTTATACTAAGATCAATAATACATATTATTACACTGGAATCAAAGAAAAGGTCTTTGCTGTTTTGTGCTGTTTCACCAACAATCATCTTGGTTGATCTTAAGAGAGTAAGAAGAGTATTTTCCAGAGTTAAAAGTGGTGCTCTAGTGCCAGATCTACAAGTCAAAAACTGTAGTTAAAAGAGCTATAAAAGACTTGCATGATCTTTGATATAAATATGAAAGACCATCTATCACTCTTTAAGAACATGCTAAAGCATGGAACAACATGAAAACAAGTTTGCGTCAGGGTAGATATTAAACGAGTGTGTGACAAAGAGCATACCCTGAAGAACAAGACATTTACACAGAGAGGAAGACAAGGGTAACTATGCTCGGCTTTACAACACCTAGCTTTTAGAGTTTGGCTTCCTTAGCAAATCTTCAAGCTGTTTTAGATAGTTCAGGTCTCTCTTTACAGTGCCTGAGAGACAGATTTGTCTCAAGGAAAAGGATTCTCAAGTGCCGACAAATGGAGCGGGAAGGCACCAGAGTGTCAACAAGGGCTCTCTAGAGTTGAGATGGCCATTTCTTCTTGGGATTCACAGTCTAGACACTTTTTCCTGTGCTTGGTGCCTGAACTGTTTTCTTGTAGCTCATGCCTGAATTATTTCCAAGGCTGAGGAGAGATCACTCTTTTCTTTTAGAAAGACTTGGAAATGGAAGAAGCTCTTTCATACAGCAGCTACATTGTAATAGACCATTCAACCATGATACGGAAAACCTAAGCTTCTGACCCTTTCTCTGCCTGGGTATACATTTCTACAGCCATCTGACTTTTTCAGCATAGCAACAGCAAGAAAACACAGAGTCAGGAGGAGCTACTGCTACAGAGATAGGAGAAGCAAAGCCACAGGTAACCAGACACAAGAAGCACTCTTTCTGTTCCGCGTGGAGCTCGGCTCATGCTTCCTGACTGGCAAGGGATGTGTGTAGGGCTGGTGCAAGCCTGCTCCGTGCGCTAAGGC